TTTTAATAGTTGATGTTTTAGACTGAAGGCATTTATTCATGAACAGGTTGTAAGTTGGTTGAGATTAGAAATTAGTATTTTCATACCATCAGCTTTTTTTGTAATTTTATTAAAAAAAATTTTTTTTAATGTTTATTTATTTTTGAGAGAGACAGAGTGTGAGTGGGGGCGGGGGTGCAGAGAGAAAGAATCTGAAGCAGGCTCCAGCCTCTGAGCTGTCAGCACAGAGCCAGATGCGGGGATCGAACCCACAAGCTGTGAGATTATGACCCGAAGTCGGACGCTCAACTGACTGAACTACCGAAGCGCCCCCATACCATCAGCTTTTAAAACTCTTAATTATTTATGTCTACATGGGCCCATCAGACCTAATGGATCTGGTGGAAGTTTCCTAATAACCTGGAATTACTGGTTATTTACATCCTCCCACCCCAGCAGTTTCCTGTAAGTACTAGTTTTTATATACAAACATTTTTGATGAGCGTATTTCTGATACTCTTTGTATTCATTTGTGTTAAGAAACAATCCATCATAGTAAATTTAAAGATCAAATTGGTTTTATTCAGTTTCATGAATGGGGTAGCATCCTATCTATCAAATAGATAAGAGCTCCTAGGAGCTGTACAAAATGGCAGGCTTTTATAGGCAGAAGAGGCTAGGGACAGGGAAAAAGTGGACTACTATATCTTCCATTAGGGAATGGAAGGGGTCTATCAGGTGATTACCTCACTAGTGCTGACCAAGAAATTCCAGACTGACCAGCTAAGATTTGATTTTTGGGAAGGTCTGAAAGCACAGTCAGGTTACATAGAAATAAGTCTTGGTTTGTTGATGTGGGGCTTAGAATAAGTGACTCAGTTTGGGTCTTTTGTTTCTTTTTAACGTTTACTAGGGAAGCCATAACAAAAACAAACTGAGTGTCTTAAATAAATTTATTTTCTCACAGTTTTGGAAGTTTAAAGTCCAAGATCAAGATGCCAACAGAGTTGGTTTCCTCTGAGACTTCTCTCCTTGGTTTGCAGATGACCACCCTCTTGTTGCCTCTTCATATGGTCTCTTTTCTGTGCAACCCTGGTGTCTTTCATTGTGTCCAAATTTTCTCCTCTTATTAGGGCACAGAGAATTGGAATGGGACCCACCCTAACACCCTCATTTAAGTTAATCATCTGATTAAAGCCTTTATCTCCAAATATGGTTACATTCTGAGGTTGGGCAGTTAAAATTTGGATATGGGAGTTTGTGGGGGCAAGGGGGCACAATTTGTCTCCTAATATTATGCAGGGAAAGTAAGAATGAATTCTGATGGCACTAAGTGTGGCTAAAAAGAAAATGATAGGGTGGCACTTTTGAAAATTTAATTTGCCTTTATACAGGTAAGGGGGTAAAATTTCTTGTAGCCTCCTAGGTTCCCTGGTTTGGGGCACTGTAAATTAGACTGACAAAAGACAGATTAACAAGAGAAAACAAATAAAAGTTTATTAGAATATTCTCTCATAGGGGAGTAATTTAGGGATGGTTAGAATTTGCTAAATAACTCTTTACCTAATTCCATTGGGGAGAGAGAGGGAGGGGAGAAAGGGCAATAATGGAAAAACAAGATGGCTTGGGAAAGATAGGTAAATGGACCCTTAGGAAAATTGATGGGAGAAATGATAGTTTGTGGGAATATCTCCGTTTGGGACTGAATTTTTTTTTTTTTTTTTCCTTTGTAGAGAAGAGTTGCTCAGGGGGCTGGAATCCCATTTAGAATATCTGGAGCTCTCTTTTTTTTTTTTTATTTTTTATTTTTTTTTTTTTAATTTTTTTTTTTCAACGTTTATTTATTTTTGGGACAGAGAGAAAACATGAAGCGGAGGGGAGGCAGAAGAGGGGAGATTTCGAGAGAATCGGAACAGGCTCAGAGCAGTCTGCAGGCCATCAATGAAACTGTGTGAGGGCGAGACTCACCGGACCGTGTGAGATAAATTGACCTACAACAACCGGACGGCTCGCCGACTATGCGCCACCCGACAGCCCCTTTTTTTTTTTTTTGAGGCTCTGCTTTTAGATAGATAAGGGATTTCAGGAACTAAAATGCCTTTAGCTCAAAACTGTTAGGTTAAAATGGCATAATTTGGGGTGGCATATCATAATTCCTTCACACACTGTGTAAATGCCTTAATAATTAAGCGTTTTTTACCTTTTTTTTCAGAACGTGAAAATTTCTACCATTAGCTATTCATACTTTGTTCTTTAAAAACTAGGTTCAAATCACATTTAAAGATATTGCAGAAATGGATATGTAATAACAGTGATTTGCCACCTAGGGATTGTTTTTAGCATATAAGTTAGCGAAGATTGTTTAAAATAAGCTTTAAATTATTGGTTATTTTAGGTTATCTGCATTTCCCTGTGAATTTTTGATATAAAGTATAAAAACTTTTTATTCCCATTCAGTTACTGAAACTAATTTTAATGAGTTTCCAACAAAAAGTTGTTGGAAAAGTAACATCTTGTCACAAACATCACAGAGCAGCTTACTTTGTAGCTTCATTTCAGAATAGATAATGAAAATCCTTTGTATATCCAAAGACACTTAAGTTTTACTTTTAATTTCAGAAAACTTGAAAATGTAGTGTAAGATGACAGAATTAGAGTTTACTGGATTGTTTGAATTTTTATGTAGTTAAGTATACTCTTCCATTTGTTTCATAAACGTATTACTGGAATTTGTCTCATATTTTTCAGATTTTATCAAGGTTTTTCCACGTTGGGCTCATGGCTCATACAAGCATTTAGTATTTGAACATTTTCATTACCATAGTGAGTTAACCATTTGTATCTATTTCTGTATTTGGCCACTCTTAACCTTAACCTTTAAATTTTTAAATAGGTCACTACTGTTTGGAATAGTAAAAAAAAGACTACTTCCGTAATATTTGAGAATGTTTTTTAAAAAGTATTTTAGCAAGTTGGTGTGACTGAAGGATTCTGCCATAGAAATTATATTTGAAAGAATTTGGAAAAAGGAAGATTAACAATGGTATCGATTATTATTTTTTTTTTTTTATTTCACTGTTGAGATTATGCAATTGTAAATACATTAGTCATTAGTAAACTCAGACCTTGGTAATGCATAGAAAATTTGATTCCTTCATCAACTGGTAGTCTAAGCTTTATAATGAAAGGAGTACAGTTGTCCAGTTGGCTTCTGCATTATTTAAAACAAACAAACAGAGGCGCCTGGGTGGCTTGGTCAGTTAAGCATCCAACTTCGGCTCAGGTCATGATCTCGCAGTCCGTGAGTTCGAGCCCTGCGTCGGGCTCTGTGCTGACAGCTCAGAGCCTGGAGCCTGTTTCAGATTCTGTGTCTCCCTCTTTCTCTTCCCCTCCCCTGTTCATGCTCTGTCTCTGTGTCAAAAATAAAAATAAACGTTAAAAAAAAAATAAACAAAAACTATGAATTTCCTGTTTAGATTGGGCTGGCAACTTGAAACTTTGATGGAGTTGATAGAGGCACCCAAAAAGTTAAATTTAGAGTGCAGAAAAGCTGTAGCTCCTGAAATATTGAAGATGACTGTTGTGATGATTATAATTTTAAACAGCCATTTTAATTATGGACATTTTCAAATACACATGTGACTAGGGAAAAAGTATTTATACACCTCCTTGTGCTACCATTTATAAACATGTGCAGCCTTTTTTTAGGAAAAAAAATTTTTTTTTAACATTTACTCATTTTTGAGGGACAGAGAGACAACAGGAGTGGGGGAGGGGTAGAGAGCGAGAGCGAGACAGAATCCGAAGCAGGCTCCAGGCTCTGAGCTGATAGCACAGAGACTGACGCGGGGCTCAAACTCATGAACTGTGAGATCATGACCTGAGCTAAAGCCAGACGCTCAACCGACTGAGCCACCCAGGTGTCCCAGCCTGTACCCCTGTTGAACATTATATGATTTTTAAAGCAAATTAAAAAAAAAATGTTTATTTTGAGAGGGAGACCGTACTCATGTCTGAGCAGGGGAGGGGCAGAGAGAGAATCCCAAGCAGGCTCTTCTTTGTCCACTTAGAGCCCCACTGGGGCTCAATCTGAGAAACTGAAATCATGACCTGAGTCTACATCAAGAATCGGGACTCTTAACTGACTGAGCCACTCCAGGTACCCCTAAAGCTAATTTTAAAGCAGATCCCAGGTGGATCAATTTAATAGACTTCAGTATTTCTTTTAAATACCACCATCACACCATTATTATATCTAAATTGACTAATAATTTCTTAATGTCATTTAATGTTCACTTCATGTTTAAATTTTTGATTCATAATATTCATTCTTTAAAGGTTGGTTGGTTTGAGTAAGGATCTGTATAAGGCCCACCTGTTGTATTTGATTATTTGCATATTGACAGCCATTTATTTGTTGGGGGAAAAAAAAAATGCAGATCATTTGACCTGTCCGGTATCCTGTGATCTGGATTTGCTGGGTTATTTCCCTCAGATGTCCTTAATTTGTTCCTCTTTGTTGAGCTTCCTGAAAGTTGGTAGTTAGATCAGATTTCAGGTTACATCTGGGGTGGAAGCAAGAATGTATTATAGGTAACATTGTTGTGCATCTTCATGTGTCACATCTAGAGACACTTGATGTCTAGTCTATTTGTGATTAGACCATTGTAATTTTAAAAAATAAGGTTTACTGAGGTATAGTTTACTTACGCTGAAGTTGGCCAGTATTAAGTGTACAATTTGATTTTTGACAGATGGGTACATTTGTATAACTACAATCAAGATAAAAACCCTGTTAGCTCAAAAACTTCCTCCTTCCCTTTGCAGTCATACCCGTACGCCTCAGGCCCTCACCCCCACTCTTCTGATCTAGTTTTTGTTACTGTATTTTTGCCTATTTCAGAATTTCATTATAATTGGAATCTTACAGTAGTAAGATCATTGTCACTCAGAAGAGAGCATAAGAAGATAAATTGGGCAAGGAGCTCCAGGTCTAATTTCCTTCCATTTTTATATGACAGGGACTTGCCATGAGGTGTTGAAGCCTTGTTTCACTGAGTTGGAGAGACTGGACCTAAATGGCGCAGCATGACTTTGCTCCAGCCTGGCTTAATTTTCCTACTCCACCATCATCAACAAAGGTACTCTTTCTTGCATTTCTCTGTCTTTTTGTGTGCCTCTCAGTTCATGTTCTACACAAAGGTAGCTTAAATGTAAAGCCTTAGTATTTTTGAGGAGAAAATTTGTGTTACCATCTAAATCCTTTCTTTTTTTTTTAATGTTTATTTTTGAGAGAGACAGAATGCAAGTGGGGGAGGATCAGAGAGAGGCGGGGGGGCACAGAATGTGAAGCAGGCTCCAGCCTCTGAGCTGTCAGCACAGAGACCGACGCGGGGCTCGAACTCACGAACCATGAGATCACGACCTGAGCCCAAGTCGGACACTCAACCGACTGAGCCACCCAGGCGCCCCAAAATTATTTCATGTTGAATTTGTCAGTTTTAGTATACCATCACCATACTTGTTTCATTTACTTTGGTTGTCTTTTGTGCTAATCAAATTTGTACACATTTTGCTTTTTCTTTTAAAGTTTATTTATTTATTTGAGCCCGTGCATGTGCAAGGGAGTGAGAGAGAGAATCCCAAGCAGACTGCATGCTGTCAGCACAGAGCCCGCTCAGGGCTCTGTCCCATAAACCCTGTTATCAAGATGATTGTAAATTGAAATCAGGAGACAGAAGCTTAACTGACTGAGCCCCCCAGGCATCCCCCACACATTTTTATTCAGACCTGTTGGGTACATTGAACTTTACTTTTGCATCTTACCTTTGCCTATACTATTTTTCAAAGAAAAATTTTTTTTAATATTTATTTTGAGAGAGAGAGAGAGACAGCACGTGAGCAGGGAAGGGGCAGAGAGAAAGGGAGAGGCTCCAGGTTCTGAGTTGTCAGCACAGGGCCCAACGCCCGGCCTCAAATTCCCCAGCTGTGAGATTATGACCTGAGGCAAAGTTGAACGCATAACCTGCTGAGCCACCCAGGGCCCCCTATCTGTACTATTCTTAAGAAAAATTTGAGGACTTTGAAGTCTTTCCATGCAACCAGAAGACTTTTTCGGATACATAAGACTTTGGCACAGCTCTAAAATTTCAGGAGTAATGAAAACTTTGCAGTGTTATAGATGAGGCCTCAGTAATCTAAGAAATGTTCCTTTTACTTAAAAACCCAAACATAATAGTTGGAATAAGACTTGTGAGGCACTGCAGTTGTCTTCCACGCCCAGGTCATGATCTCATGGTTCTTGAGTTTGAGCCCTACATCAGGTGTCTGCTGTCAGCCCTGAACCCGCTTCTGATCCTCTGTCTCCCTCTTTCTCTGCCCTTCTCTGTCTCAAAAATAAACACTTAAAAAGCTTGCTAAGTAAGAGAGGGACCTTGGAATTTGTTAGAATCCATCTGTCTGGCTTAATAGTTGTCTTTGACTTTGTTTTTTCTATAACGCAAAGGAATTGAGAGAGTCTTAATCATCTGTTTGCCTGTTAATCATACTCTACCATGCTAAGGTGTTCACCTAGGACCTTTTGAGGTACAGACAGTTCTTAGAAAAACAGTTGTTAAAAGTAGCTCTTATGGGAACAATTTTTGTACTTTGGAAAGTCGTTCCTCAGTCAGGACATGTCAGATCATAATAATTGGTCCATAGTTTTGCCTCATAATTTTGTACAGATGGATTCTCCGGAAGGTTAATTGAGTTCCTTGTTGTTCATACAATTACTGTGAGCCTAGACTAGAATCCAGGGTGCATTTCCTATTCCATTTCTTGACATAGGACTTATTTTGGAATGCTGTCAAATGATTAAACATCTCATTTCATAGCCTATAAAATGGGATTTGAGATTGGAGACTTCTGTTGATTAAGCTACTGAGATCACTTAAAAAAATTTTTTTTTTTTAACGTTTATTTATTTTTGAGAGAGCATGAGAAGAGGAGGGGAGAGAAAGGGGACACAGAATCTGAAGCAGGCTCCAGGCTCTGAGCTGTCAGCACAGAGCCTGACATGGGCTCAAACCCTCTAACAGCAAGATCATGACCTGAACCGAAGTTGGATGCTTAACCGACTAAGCTACCCAGGCACCCATGAGATCAATTTTTAATGTTTGTTTATTTTTGAGGGAGTGCGAGTGAGCATGAGTGGGGGGAGGGGCAGAAAGAGGGAGACACAGAACCAGAATCAGGCTCCAGGCTCTGACCTGTCAGCACAGAGCCCTACCAGGGGCTAGAACTCACAAACCCCAAGATCATGACCTGAGCCACAGTTGGGATGCTTAACCAATTGAGCTACCAGGCGCCCCTGAGATCACTTCTTACAGATTTTCCTCCTTTCCTCTTAGGTATGGGTCTCTGCAGTTTGCTCCTCACCCTGTTAAACCCAGCTGCTCTAATCTACCCATTTAGGGGTCATTCTTAATTTGTGCCCACTTCACAGCCTGGATACATAAGAGTTTCGTGCTCCCCACCTTCCTTTTTTCTTTTTTTGTTTCCTTTTCTGAAATAGGTATAAGACTTGTTTTCATTTGCAAGCCAATTGATAAAAATTATCAGTACCTGGAAAGTTAGTTACAACATATTAAAAAGTATGGGAATACATCTTCTTTAATCAAAAGTGATTACTTTAACGTATAAGTGTTATGGTCTGCCATTTTATTTATTAAAATTTTTTAGCTTTATTTACTTTGAGAGAGACAGTGTGAGTCGGGGAAGGGACAGAAAGAGAGGGAGAGAGAATCCCAAGTAGGCATCTCACTGTCAGCACAGAGCCCGATGTGAGGCTCGAACTCATGAACTGTGAGATATGACCTTAGCCGAAGTTGGACATTCAACTGTGTCAGCCAGGTGCCCCTAAAAAGTTTTTTTAAGTATATCCATTTATTTTGAGAGAGGGAGGGAGACAGGCAGGGCAGAGACACTGGGGGAGAGAGAATCCCAAGCAGGCTCTGCACTGTCAGCGCAGAGTCCAGTGTTAGGCTCCAACTCACTGACCTGAGCTGAAGTCAAGAGTTAGATGCTTAACTGACTGAGCCACCCAGGTGCCCCTGTGGTCTGCCATTTTAATCTGTAATTCTTTTTTATGTATGTATTTATTTGTTTTAAACTTTGATTTAGTTTTTATTTGAATTATAGTTACTTAAAGTACAATATTGGTTTTAGGAGTAGAATTCATTGATTTATCACTTACAGTGCTCAAAAAATTGAGATTAATTTTTGTCTTTGTTCAGATGTTAATCTGAGATTTATATGTGGTGAAATCCTTACTGCTTTCCTGAACCTGACTCTTTCTGGATATAGGTCTACATGAATGATGATGATGATTTTCAAAATTGGGATTGCCTATTCTGAATCTCAATTCTAATTTGTTCTGAATTACCTACAGAAAATAGTATTTGAACTCTTAACTAGCAGTGGTTGAAATTATTTGTTTAGACCTTACCCAGACCTTTTGTGACAAACACAAAACTTTTAGTAATGACTTCTTAAACTTTCCATCTTATCCTTTCATGTCTCAAAGTCTCACTATTCATCGAGTCTCTTTTATAATTAACCTCTTGTTTTCTGTCAGAGCCCTTTTAATCTTCTATGAAATAAGTGGAACAGACATTAATTGACTGTGGGTTTCTCTATTTCAACATAACAGAATTCTTTTATTTATTTGTTGTTTGAAGGGATGATAAGAGGACTTGAAATAAAAAAAATGTTTTTAGAAGAGCATTTTAGCAGTTTTCTGAGGTGTGTAGAGTTTTAGCCCCATCATGTGGTGAAATTATAAACTGCATGTGGTTGATTATATGTCTGGCATAACCTTCTTTACTTGAGCTGTTGATTGGGACCCAGTAAAAAGTAAATTTTACATAATGTTTTTGTATACACACAGGTGTAACTAAAACAAAAGTCAGTATACCTGTGGTGCACTAATATATTCTCTTGTGGTTTTCTGTTCCCTTTTATTCCATTAAAAAAATGTAAATTGTTACTGATACTGTCATCCTTTAATAGGTCCTGAGTTGCATTTTAAAGAACATTTAAAAAGTAACAATTTTATTATTGTAGCATAACTGAAATGGTTGTAGATACTGGAAAATTTTAAATAACTCTTTGGTTTAGAATCTTGTCCTTCTAGTTGTCTTACTCGAGGAAGGATGATAAAATGATCCCTGTAATAGGCTGCTCTGAAGTATCCTTTCATAGTATTGTTAGAAGGAGGAAGACTCCAGGGGCACCTGGCTGGCTCATTCAGAAGAGTACGTAACTGTTGATCTTGGGGTCCTCAGTTGCAGCCCCACAATGGGTGTGAAACCTACTTAAAAAAAAAAAGTAGGGGGGAAGGTGCCTGGGTGGCTCAGTCACTTAAGCTGTTAAGCGTCTGACTCTTGATTTCGGCCCAGGTCATGATCTCATTGTTCACATGGCGCAGAACTTGCTTGGGAGTCTCTCTCCCCCTGACCCTCCCTCTCTTTCTCAAAATAAATACACTTAAAAAACAAATTAAAAAAGAAGGAAGATTCCAGGGGTGTGATACTAAAAGAGCAAATGGGTGGTAGGAAATAAGAAAATATGGGAATTTTTATTCGTCTTAAATAAAAAGTGACATTAAACTTGTGACCTTCCACTGCAGTTAATACATATTCATATTCAGTATTTTGTAGTTACTTCTGTCACTAGCATTAGTGCATTATGTATTCTTTTTTGGCAGCATCTAAAAAATAGTGGTTTAATATTTACCAAAACTTTTTTATTTTCCAAGTTTATTTTTGTGAGAGAGTGAGTGAGCATGAGGGGGAGGAGGGGCAGAGAGGAGACAGAATCCCATCCAGGCTCTGTGCTGTCAGTGCAGAGCCTGACTCGGGTTCAAAGCCAGGAACCGTGAGATCATGACCTGAGCTGAAATCAAGAATTTAAAGTTCAGGCTAAAGAGAGGATCAGAAAGTTCAGTCAGACTGGTAGTGGAGTTCATTGAAACTTCTTGTTTACTATGTAAAGTTTTTATTAACTAGGGACTCATATTGTGAGCATCTGAGAAAACATTGCTAAATTAATTTTTTAAAAGGAATCCAGGATAATATTTAAAGTATGTAAAAGGTAAAGA